TCCTCCTTTTCTGCCTTTTTTAGGTTGATCAAGTATTTTTCTTTTTTTTTTAACTTTATCTCTTCTATTGGATTTTTTTTTGAACTGGTTTTTGTATTTTTCTTTTGACAGCTACCCTAGATATTATAGTGTACATTTTTTGGCTTATTACAGTATTAAGCTAGCATGTTATTTTTCAAACAATTCAAGAATTTTATAACAATTTAACTGTGTTTACTTCTTTTCACATTTGGTGTTACTGGTCTATTTTACTTTTGTACACATCATAAATACACAGGTACATAAATTATTATTGATTTAAATGGTTATTGTTCTTTTACTCTTTCCCATTCGTTTGTCATACAGTTCCATGCTTTCATCTGTCATCGTTTTCCTTCAGCGTAAAGAACTCCTTTTAGTATTTCTTGTATTGCAGATCTGCTGGTGACAGATTCCTTCAACTATTGTTTATCTTTACTTCACTTGAACCTCTTGATACATTTTTTTACCTTTGCTCAAGAAAACCTGAGCCAGACAAAACGTGATAAAGATGTACTTTATTTAAATAACTATTATAGTAAGGAAAGCTACTCCAGTGTAGAAGTGGGCTTAATTCTGAGTACTGTCTGAAAAAGTGGAAATTTATAGCCAAGGAGCAAGTAGGATGGGGACACTGGGGAATCGCAAATTACTGGAGGAGACATCAGGTCTGGGGGTGATTCTTGCTGAGCAGGCCATGGTGATCAGATACCAGCTGGGGGATTAAAGGAGTGCAGAATTTGATCAGATATGTCAAAGGTGGCAAAATCTTGCTAAATCTTGCTAAATTTAGCAGGAATCCTGCTTAAATCCATTTAGCAAGGAATGGATTCTTCAAGGAAATAAACTTTTGGGGTACTTAGGGGAGGGTTCAGAGAAGCCTGACTAAAAGTTTGTCTAGGAAAGAATCTTTTTCAACACTATACTTTTGTGTTTTCTTGTGGTCTTTACTATCATGCACTTAATTTCTTGTTTTGTAATTCTTTAGTGGCTTCTCTGGGTCACCTATTATGAGAGCCTTAAAGTTAGGCAGTGTTTTCATTTTTGTATTTTCCATACCCATCTTGTGCATATTATAGAATAGAGACTGTTAATATTAGTGGAATGATGACTGTTCTTGGTCTAAAATGATATGGAAATGAATCACAGTTTTGGTAGTGGCTTAGAAAAGAAGAAACATTTTGAATTAATTTTTTTATTAAATAAAAATAAGAATAATTTGGACTTAGTGTGTAGGGAAAGAAAAGGAGTTAAAAGTGACTTTGAAGTTTCTTTGAATCTATTCAGTATAATGTATATCTCAGACACAGTGTCACTGCCTTTTCTTTCTTCCTAGAACAGCCCAATTAACATGAACTAGTTAGAAAAAATGTGAATTAAGTATTAATATATAATTGCCATTTTGGAATAAGATGGTGTGACTAAACATGACGTAAGCACTGTCTTTTGCTTTTGTTTGCCTTGTGACCTAACCATTTTCCTTTAGGGGTGCATCCCCTTGTTCTGACCCTTTTGTGCCAATTTATATGGATACATTTGTTTTCCTATTTTGATACATATAATTAAGGTTTGGAGTCTTACTTCTGTTAAGAAATCATTATTCAACATTTAAAAAATCCTAATGTTTCATCAGTATGAGTTCACTTTTCCTGCTTTGTATAATCACACTATTGTTTGAAAATCATGACATTATGTTGTTCAGTAAAATACGCCTGTCATCATATGCTAAGAATAATGGTTCCATATATGCAATTTTTTTTTTTATTAGTTGGAGGCTAATTACTTTACATCATTACAGTAGTTTTTGTTATACATTGAAATGAATTAGCCATGGATTTACATGTATTCCCCATCCCAGTCCCCCCTCCCACCTCCCTCTCCACCCGATCCCTCTGGGTCTTCCCAGTGCACCAGGCCCGAGCACTTGTCTCATGTACCCAACCTGAGCTGGTTATCTGTTTCACCCTAGATAATATACATGTTTCAATGCTGTTCTTTTGAAACATCCCACCCTCGCCTTCTCCCAGAGTCCACAAGTCTATTCTATACATCTGAGTCTCTTTTTCTGTTTTGCACCATATATGCAATTTTATTTGCATGATTACATTTAAACTAAATGATGATTTTTTTGCTAAAGTTCTCTTCCTAGTATTCTTTTTTCCAAGGCAATCTCATATCAGGTGTTTTACGTTCCCTTCCTGGGTAACTTTATCTCCCACTGTTTTTTTTGGTAATTGGAGTATAATTGCTTTACAGTGTTGTTAGTTTCTGCTGTACAGCAAAGTGAATTGGCTGTGTAGGACTGAGGTATATGCACTCCCACCGTGTCTCATGTGTGTACCTGAAACACTGGCAACGTGGCTTGTTTTGTGGAAAGAGGTACCTTCTAGATAAAAGAAATGTCAAGTTTAAAGCATTTTTCAATGCAGAATTAGACTAGATCCAAATAGTACTCAGATAAAATAATTACTTCTCAAATTATTTGAATAGTATTCTTTCCTATCATCTTACGATTATTTTAAAGTTTAGAGACGAACAAGCCATTTTTCTCTTAGTTTCAAAGTGGCATACGTGGTGGACCCTCACTTTGTATTCAGTAGTGTCTTTTATCTGTTTTCCACTTTCCCTTTCTTTTTAACATGGGGCTTACTGTTTTTATTTAATGAATTCTTTAAAAAAGGAAGAAGTTTATTCTCCATGGTACTGTTATCTTCCTTTTACCTTAGCCCCATCCTGGTACCTAGGACTGTGATCTTTGGTGGATCCTCCAAGTTTCCCCCGTAGTCGTGTGACCGTGTGTGCTCAGTTGCTCATTCGTGTCTGACTCTCTGCTGCCCCGTGAACTGTAGCCCACCAGGCTCCTCTGACCATCACATTCTCCAGCAGGAAGACTGGAGTGGGTAGCTATTCTCTTCCCCAGGGGATCTTCCTGCCCCCGGGATTGAACCTGGGTCTCCTGCGTTGCAGATTCTTTACTGCCTGAGCCAGCAGGGAAGCCCCCATATAATCATATAGGAATGCACAACCCCCCTCCCTGTCGTACAGAGTCACTAGGGTTTTGAGATCATTCTTTTATAACATGGAATCATACTATACACTCTTATGTGTGTCTTGCTTTTTTCATGAACACATACATTGTGAAAAATATGTTCAAACCAACTGCCTTGGTACTAACTCATTCTTTTTATTAAATTTCATAAAGGTCCATGGAATGGAGTATACCGCCTCAGTTTTTTCATATTTTCTGCTCTTGAATTTACATTTTATTTCTTTTTAATTTCTTACTACTATGCTGCATTTTTAGGAGTGCCCAGGAGAGATTGCTGGCTTAAAAACACATTTAAAATTTTTACTGACACTTATTTCTCACAACTATATAGGTACTACTTTCTCAGAAGTTGTGCTAGTTTACGTTTCTAGCGATTACGTAGTGTAGTTCCCTTTTCACTACAGTTCAATCAGCACTAGATGCTACCCCTCTTAGGTGAATAGGTGAATGGGGATAAAGTGATATTACTTAATTTAAATTTACATTTTCTTCAATGTAAACTAATATTTCCATTCTTTCTCTTGCTTTTTAGTCTTGTGGACTTGCTCCACTGTGAATAACTTATTTCCATTTTTTTTTCCATTTTCACTTTTAATATTTTGGTTTTGCCTTTTGAGTCTTGATTTTTATTATAACATATTTCAAGTAATTCTTTGTGTAGAATGATAAAATACATATCAGCATGCTCACTACTTCTCAAATTTATCATTTTGTCATTTAACTACAGACTTTTTTCTAATATCTTATCATGATGTCGAAAGTGTCACTTAGTCGTGTTTGACTGTTTGTGACCCCATGAACTGTAACCTGCCAGGCTCCTCTGTCCATGTAATTCTCCAAGCTAGAATACTGGAGTGGGTTGCCATTTCCTTTTCCAGGGGATCTTCCCGACCCAGAGATCAAACTTGGGTCTCCTGCATTGCAGGCAGATTCTTTTATTACTCTCTGAGCCACCATCCTGATGAGTTATGTTAGTAGATTTTCTTAATTTAGCCATCTCTCCAATCTTCAAATAAATGAACTTTGTCATTTTTTTTCTAAGAAACATTGCTAGATTTTGTTTGCAAATGTTTAATTTAGGATTTTTAAATTTATTTTGGTAAGTGAGATTTACCATTTTATAATGTCTTTGGTTTTGATATCATGGTCAAACTGAATTAAAAAATGTGTCAGTTTTCCTGTTCTCTTTTTTCTTAGTATTTGTTTCTGATTTAGTTGAAATGTGAATAGAAAACATGGTATGTATGACCATTCTCTGGCATTTTTGGAGACTTGTTTTTAGCCTCACATGATTGGTATGTACTTGTGTGGGTTCTCTCTGTGTTTGGAAATAATATACATTATTTAATTTTGTGGTTGAAGTGTTCTATGTGATTTTTAAAGTTCACTGGCCTTCAACCTTTTGTTAATGTACCTTCTAAAATATTTTTGAAAAAAAAATCACATATCCTTGCGTTGTACGTTGATGTTTAAAAGTTTCATTGTAAGTTTAAATAGTTCAGAGAATATAATAACAAGTGTATTGTGTAAAACTTGATATTTAAAAATAAAACTGTTTCATTGTTCTTTTTAAAGCTCCTGGTGACTCAAATATTTTAGTTATTTGGTACCCTCATTATTATTTAAAACAATATTGTTGGGTTAATCCAGTATTATTGGGTCAACTTTACTGTACCAGACAACTAAAAAAACTAGATAAACTTTTTTATAATGTGTTTGAAAGAATCCTAGCAGTCAAATGTTACAATATAGGAGGAAAATATATTTAATTAAGAACTTACTTGTAAGTAGTGTTGAACTGGAAGATTTTGACTGCTGCTGTATTTTGCATAGATTTAATTAAGAGTTATTGCTTCAGCCCCACTGTAGATTATAGATGTTATTGTAAATGTACTTTAATATCTGTAATAATTTGTTTCTGTTTCTTTCTTAGGAATCACACCTGTATATCATAGTATGTTTGCTTTAATGAGTGAAACAGAAAGGATCTGGTATCCGCCCAACCATGTCTTCCATATAGATGAATCAACCAGGCAAAATGTACTCTACAGAATCAGGTACTTTCTCCAGTAAAGTAGTCACTTTTAACTTAATGGTAAAAAGCAAAGTGGGAAAAATTATCAACCATACTTTTTAATTGCAAGGTCTTTAGTATTGGAGATCAGAACCAGTTAGCATCTAATCTTCATTTGGGCTTTCCAGGTGGTACTAGTGGATAAGAACCCACCTGCCAATGCAGGAGATGTAAGAGACATGGATTTGATCCCTGGGTTGGGAAAATCTCCTGGAGGAGTGCGTGGCAACCCACTCCAGTATTCTAGCCTGGAGAATCTCATGGACAGAGGAGCCTGGTGGGCTACAGTCCATAAGGTTGTAAAGAGTCTAACACTACTAAAGTGACTTAGTATGCATGCACACACTTCTTTTCAGATTCTCTTTCCCCACTAGATAAAGTGTTCATACATGCTCTTTTACTAGAATGCTCTGAGAATAAAGCTGTTTTGGTAGGATGCTACTTTTCCACTTAAATTTATAATTAAAATTTGGAAAGAATAAGAATGACCTTTACTTGCAAAATCCTAAATGTTTGATATACTGATAATTTCTCAGAAAACTTGATGTTTTATATAATAATCTATGATCTCACAGCTATTCTTTTTAGTAACTTTTTTCAGTTGATGTGAAGGAAGGATAAGATTTTGCCAGTGATTATTTACAACCTCAAATTACAAATTATTTAAGAATTCTTGGTAATATGTAATGCCAATTTAGAGAAATCCAGAGGTATTTTATGATTTAAAAGGATGAAACAAAGAAATAAGTCCAGTCTTTTCTTACTTCTGAAATAGATCAGTTCTATAGAGAGTCAGTGTTGCATAGTAAAACATGACCATGGACTCATTGATGATTATAAAAAGGAAACAAAACCTTAGTAAACTAAAAGTCAAGAGAGACATTCATACCATGATTAAAGGATATCTGCAAAAAACATGTGGCAAATAATATTCTTAAATGATAAAATATTAGCATCATTCTCTTCTAAAGTCAAGAGTAAGATAGAAAGCAAAGATAACATGAATATAGTAATCTACTTATATATAGGATTTTGGTGGAGTTCCTAACCAATACAGTAAAACAGAAACAATATTTCATAATTGAGAACAAAGCAGGAAAAAGTCATTATTTGGAAATGATGTGATTGTTAACAAAAAAAATATGAGCAAATCTACAGGCATCAGTAATAACCATTTAGCAGAAGGCTATATTTATGTGATCAGTATATTAAGGTAGACATTTCCATACACCATAAACAAACAGAAAAGAGGTCACTTAAAGACTAATAAAAGCAAAATACATAAGGTGCTTAGAATTAAACCTATTCAAATTTATTAAGACTTTTATGGAGGTTTTAAGACTTTTCAAATTTGTGTTATTTAAAGAAGCAGAGTAATATGCAACATATGTTTCACAGAATGTCAGTATGTTATTAAGAATATTTTCTTTATCAATTTCTATAATTTCTTTCTGTAATTAGCAAGTAGTGTGTCTTTATTTTAAAATGTCTATAGAGCAGTAATCTGCAGTGTTTTTCTGTAAGAAGTCAGATAGTAAATACTTTGGGTATTGTGGGGAATAGTTTGCTTACCTAAAGAATTAAAAATTGTTTCCCTTATCAAATTCATGACTTCCTCCTACTTTTAAACTAAGGGGGCACATATGCACTGCTACCTATAATCACAAGTACCAAGGATAATGTAACCAGAAACTACCCCAAAGAGATTTTATATATTTTTAAAAAATTCTGCTTGTCTGTGGTTTAGAGGCTCTTCTTCATTTCCTTTATTACATATTTATGTGTTATTTCAGAATCAACATAAAAGAGCACAATTATACAACTGTGTTGGAGAACTTATATAAAGATGTGGTTTATATGATAAATATAGAATAAAGGGAATGAAAGAGAGTTTTTATATTGTATTAAAATTAAGTTGATATTAATAAGAACTAGATTGTTTAAGTTACAATGTCTTTTGTAATTCTCTGAGAGACTCCTATGCCAAATTCAAAAATATATAGTAAAAGATAAAATAAGAGACTTAATGTATTAATAATGCACTAGAAACTTAATCTATTAATATATTAGAAAATATCTGTAGCAATAATGAAACAAATGAACAAAAAGACAAAAATATCCAAAAAATCCTAGTGGAAGCTAGATGACAGACATAATACTTTATTAACAATAATAGCCTTAAGTGTAAATGAATTAAACTCGCAAAAAAGCAGAGACTGAAGAACTAAATTTTTAAAAATATAAATTACATCCTGTCTATAAGAGGCACACTTTGCACTCAAAAGCACAAATATCTTGAAAGTAAATGATTGAAGACGATATAGCAGGTATTGAGTAACCAAAAGAGAGCTGAGAAGCTGTATTATCAAGCAAAGTTGATTATAAGATATACATTGTTGCTAGAGGTAGGGGAGGGACATTTTATAATGATCAAGGAGTTTATCCATTAGAAAGCATGATATTTGCTTCTAATTGCTATGAGTTGGATCCAGCTACAGAGCTCCAAAATAAATGAAGCAACAGTGAAAGAATTAAAAGGAAAACTAGATGGTTCGACAATAATAGTTGGAGACGTCAATGCCTCACTTTCAGTAATGGACAGAAAAACCAGACTGAAGATCAGCAAGGAAATAGAAGACTTGAATAACACTGTAAACTAGCTATACATACAAACATAGGACACTGCACCTAATGACAGGACAATACATATTCTTTTCAAGTGCATAGGGAATATTCTCCAAGTTAGATCATGTGTTAGTCCATCAAATGAATTTCAGTAAATTTACAAATATTGAAATTATACAAAGTATGTTCTCTGACCACTCTGGAAGTAAATTAGAAATCATTAACAGAAGGAAAACTGGACAGTTCACAAATATGTGGTAAATTGACAACACTATTCTAAATAAATAATAGGTCAAAGAAGAAATCACAAAGGAAAATAGAAAATATTTTGATATAACTGGAAATGAAAATGGATCTTATGAAAAATTACGGTGTAAAAAAAAACTTACGGTGTGCAGCTAAAAACCATGCTTTAAAGTAAATTCATAGTTATAAAAACTATATAGAAAAGTTCTCAAATCAGTAACATTCCATTTTAACAAAGTAGAAAAAGAAGAGTAAATTAAACTGAAAGCAAGTTAAAGGAAGGAAATAATAAAGATCAGAGTAGAGATAAATGAAATAGACGCTAGAAAAACAAGAGACAATGAGGAAACCAAAAGTTGGTTGGTTCCTTGAAAAAATCAACAGTATCAGTAATGCTTTAACTAGATAAGGAGAGAAGCTTAAATTGTTAAAATCAGGAATAAAATAGGTTGCATTACTGTGACCTTACAGAAATAAAAAGGATTATAAGAAACAGCTGTATGCTAACAAACTACGTAACCAAGATGAAATAGAGAAATGCTTAGAAAGACACAAACTATAAAACTGACAAAGAAATAGAATATGTGAATTGACCTTAACAAGTAAAGAAATCGATTTCAATTAGTAATTAAAAAACAAACAAAACAAAAAACTTTGTACAAAGGAGAGCCCAGGTCCAAGTGGCTTTACTGGTGAATTCTATTGAACTTTTAAGGATATGTTGATACTTTGTTGTTTTTCAGTCGGTAAATCTTGCCCAACTTTGTGACCTCATGGACTGTAGCTTGCCAGGCTGCTCTGCCCTCCTCTGTTTCCCAGAGTTGGCTCAGGTTCATGTCCATTGAGTCAGTGATGCTATCTAACCATCTTATCCTCTGCTGTCCATTTCTTCTTTTGCCTTCAGTCTTTCCCCAAATCAGGGTTTTTTCCAGTGAGTCGGCTTTTCACATCGCATGGCCAAAGTGTTAAGCTTCAGCTTCAGCAGCATTACTTCCAGTGAATATTTAGGGTTGATTTCCTTTAGAATTTACTGGTTTGATCTTCTTGAGTCCAGGGGACTCTCAAGAGTCCTCTCCAGCATCACAATTCAAAAGCATCAATTTTTCTGTACTCAGCCTGCTTTATGGTCTGCCTCCCACACCCTTACATGACTACTGGAAAAACCATAGCTTTGACATGCGGACCTTTATTGGCAAAGTGATATCTTTGCTTTTTAATATGCTCTCTAGGTTTGTCATAGCTTTCATTTCAAGGAGCAAGTGTCTTTTAATTTCATGGCAGCAGTCACCGTTCATAGTGATTTTGGAGCCCAGGAAAATAAAATCTGTCACTGTTTATATTTTTTCTTCTTCTATTTGCCATGAAGTGATGGGACCAGATGCCCTTACTTCAGTATTTTGAATGTTGAGTTTCAAGTCAGTTTTTTCACTCTCTTCCTTCACCTTCATCAAGAGCCTCTTTAGTTCCTCTTTACTTTCTGCCATTAGACTATCTGCATATCTGAGATTGTTGATATTTCTCCCAACAATCTTGATTCCAGCTGTGATTCATCCAGCCCAGCATTTCACATAATGTACTCTGCATAGAAGTTAAATAAGCAGGGTGACAATATACAGCCTTGTCATACCAGTCACTGGTTCCATGTCCAGATCTGACTATTGCTTCTTGACCCGCAGACGGGATTCTCAGGAGACAGATAAGATGGTCTGCTACTCCCTTCTGTTTAAGCACTTACCACAGTTGTGATCCACACAGTCAAAGGCTTTAGCATAGTCAATGCAGCAGAAGTAGATGCTTTTCTGAAACTCCCTTGCTTTCTTGATAGTCCAGCGAACATGGCAATTTGATCTCTGGTTCCTCTGCCTTTTCTAAACCCAACTTTTGCAGCTGGAAACTCTTGAATCACGTACTCCTAAAGCCTAGCTTGAAGGATTTTGAGAGTAATCTTGCTAGCATGTGAAATGAACGGAATTGTATGATATTTGGAACTTTCTTTGGCATTGCCCTTCTTTGTCATTAGAATGAAAACTACTTTTCCAGTCCTGTGGTCATGGCCGAGTTTTCCAAATTTGTTGACATGTTGAGTACAGCACTTTAACAGCATCATC